AAACTAAAGGGCTCCTTTACTAACCTGTCTTATATAGTCAGAAACTTCAAGAGAAAAAAAATCTGGTTTGGGTTAACTGTGAGAAGACCAGCAGCTCACCAACCAGCACATAATCCAGTGTCAATATGAAACATAAAAAAAAATATTCAAGTGAATCCTAAATCCTCTGAATTAGTCCTAATTTGTAAATGTTAAAAGCGCCCTTAAATAACTCACTGACTTGTATGACTAAACGCACATGGCAGCTTTCACTGTCTTTGTCCTTTAAGGAAGCTGGTGCTCTGTCGGGCAGCACCCTGGCAACATCACACCAACCTGCCCCTATAAAGTAAGGTCAAAATAATACTTGTTCCAACTCTTAGTCATACCTCTGCCTGCTGGAGTTTCCACACCAGACCTTTAGTTTCCATTCTATAACTCATGCAACTGCCTTTGTGAATGGCTGCACCCAGCAGTTCAGCGCCTGGAGGACCTTGTTTGTTTTTATGTAAGACTAGATTATATTTAGGTAAAGATTTCCACTTCACCTCATAGTTGCCAAAGGTCTCATTGTTATCAGTAAAAGGAGAAATTCAAAAATATATAAACAAAAATAAAGAAACCAGGTATTGGTAATGTATTAGCTCTTGAGCAGGTGGTAGATTCATTGTCCATTATACTATTAAAAGCATAAATAAACAAGTAAAATAAACAAAAGAGCCATTCATGAAACAATGACAATAATGTTTTATGAACCAAGGATTATGATTAATCAATTCTGTTCACTTAATGAAACCAGTCAAAGGCAGCTTAACTTATTGCACATCAGTGTGGCTTTATGCCTTGCCCTTTGCCCTACCAGGTCTTCAGCTCAGTTCTGGATGATAACTTGGGCAAAGATATTTCAGAATCAGGATATCTAGTCTTTTACTTTGGTGGCAACATGAGTGAGGGAAAGTCATACTGATCATCTTACAAGGTTTCAGGTCAGAGCAAGGAGATAGGTGCCTCCTAGCTAAGGAACAAAAGTGTGCATGTGTCAGAAGAAACATTGAAATTGTCACTGGAAAACGTGAGTTCAAGGTCAGGAGCACATTAAGCAAAGGAGCTAGGCACAGGTCAGGGATCCCAGCTTGGGGTCAAAACAATAGAACAGACACAAGGCACCCTTCCTGCCAGAGACCCTGTCTAGCCTCTAGAGCAAGATTCAAGGAAAGCAATGGCAAAAACCAAGCTACAAGGAGACACAGCTCAGAAGATGGAAAAAGTCTCTTGTTTTGTGTAAGGTTCACAGCAAACATTTTCTATATAAATCCTTGATGTTACAGGTCTTCTTAAAACGAAGGGGCATGCCTTTGTTCTTTTAGTAAGCGCAGAGTGCTAAATACAACTTAGTGCCTTTGATTCATTATTAAGAGCAAACATTTATTTATTCAGAAAACATTTATCTACATTATTCTTGGCATCGGGTCACTGAAAGGAGAAGATGGAGACCCAGTAGTTAAACAGCAGCAGGCAGAATGAGCTCTGAATGTGACTTTTATACCCCTGTTAAGAGCCTTTCCTGTGGGTATTTTTCCTTTCTCTCCTTAACTTTAAAGTGTTTAATATCATGTGTCTCTAAAAATCTACTGAACTGGAAGTCCTGGATTAATTTAGGATCTGCTTCATTAAACGTCTTGAACTATACTCATCCCAAATGTGAAAACAGAAAATTCCTATCTTCTTCATTACACAGTCCTCTTGTCAGCAGGGTACCTGATCCCCTTGCCAGAATCTAAAATGCTACAGATGCTAATGGTGATTCCTCAGAATTCAAAACACACCCATTAGCAAGCCCCTGGAAGTGTGCGAGGAATACCAATAGGGACTGTCCATCCTGCCGAACAAATTCATCATAGACCTTAGCCCTGTCAGTTACCAGGTTAAGGGTAATGCTTTGATGGGCTTGTTAAAGAGAAACAAATAAATTGGAGGCCATTCAAAGGCAGGGACTATGTTCTCGACTTCTTTGTAATTCCCCATGCTAGCCTAGACCAATGCTTGGTTGACAGTTATTTCTTGATTAACAATTAGCTTTTGTTAATGTATTCCTTTTATGTGCTGTTCAAACAAAAAGTAGGGTCGTGTAATGAGAGTTTCATGAGCAACAGAATATTCTTGACACACTTTCCTGGAATGCCAAATTCGCTCAAAGATCAGAGGCATACTAGTAGACATTACGTTTATATTCTTTAAAACTAGAGTATAACAATCAGCATGAATTTTAAAGGTAAAATATAAAAATCAAAGACAACTCACACTTGCAGCTGGGCATTTGGAGACACACACTCAGACCCCAGAAGATACACAGTCACTCCTTCTCTTCAGTGGAAAAGTCTGTGCAGCACACAGCTTGATGCCTGGTTACACACACACACACACACACACACACACACACACACACACAATTTGCTTCCCCCTTCTCCCAAAAAAGTACAAATTTAAACCCAGAAAACCTACTTTTGGGAAAATTATCTTAATAAATAATTAAAATATATATGAGCGCAAATATATATGAGTGAATCATATCTATATATACATACACATCTATAATAATAAAAGCGAATGTGCTAATTAGACTGGACGTCCTTCCGGATGAAGCCGAGGCTACGAGGGAAGCCCAGGTGCCGGGTGCCAGAGGGAAGCCAGTGCCAGCAGCCAGGGGAAGGAAGGCCTACTCTTGCATGAATTTCGTGCCTCGGGCCTCTAATTATATAGATAGATAGAAAGATAGATAGATAGATAGATAGATAGATAGATAGATAGATAGATAGATAGATGATAGATAGATAGACAGATAGATATGATTCTGGTATAGCTATCCATCTAGGATTGGACTGATTTGGGTTTAAGACCGTGGTTCCAAACTTTAGCATGCATCAGAATCACCCAAAGGAATGGTTAAAATGCAGACTGCTGGGCCCCAGCCCTAGAGTTTCTGTTCACAAGATCAAGTGTGGCCTGGAAATCTGAATTTATCACAGGTTTCTAGGTGAAGCTGATGCTGCTGGTCCAGAGACCACGTTCAGAGAACTGTGAATTAAGAAGACCAGACAACTTTTTATTTTGTTGACTGATACATTTCCTGCAGAAATCATGTTTACAAGCAGACTTCCTGCACATGTAACATAATCTTATCAGTTCTCTGGAATTCATTGCTTCCAGTATTTTTTGTGGCATCCAGCAGTCAACCTTTCTTGTCCAAGTAGAACCTGTCAATTGGGTGGCAGGCACACTATTCTTCTTGGTGCTGCAAGACTGTCCAAACATTGCCACGTTTAATTTGCTTTGCTAGGCATTTGTTCTTAGACTAGGTTTATCCTCCACAATAGAAGATGCTATCCAGTAAAAGCATTAACAAACTATAGTTGTTTATCAAACTGAAGTGCATTAATCGTTAATATCTCCAAATAGTAACAAGCCATATGGACAAAATGTTGCCACATTGATAAAACTACATTTATAATAATACTAGGGGCCCAATGCACAAATTCGTGTCCCTTGAAAGGAGCTGTGGACCGCGAGGCTGCAGTGGGCCCAGGGGCGGGTCTCGGCCCATCTTCCGCACCCCTGCCCAGTTCCCTCCCACTGCGGCCCGTGGTCCCCCGTCTACTGGCAGCCCCGCTCCCACCACCACTGCTCCCATGCGCTGACAGCGCCAGCCCTGCTCACACCCACTGACTGCATGGAACAATTGGGTCCGGCACCAGCAGCAGGTGCAAGCAGCTGCTGCTGCCCCAATCACCTCTCAGGAGCAGGGGGAGGTGGAGAAGCCCTGAGGGGCGCCAGCAGCAGGTGCAAGCGCCAGGAGGGACTGCAACGCACGGGAGCAAAGAATTTTCAGTAACCACCAGAGGCTCGCCCTGATGACAGTAACCGATGCCCCACCTTGGTCTGGTGCCCCCGCTCACCTGCTCTACCACCCTGCCGTGGCCAATGCCCACCATGTTCCATGCTCTGCCGCCTGCTGCCGACGCCTGCCATGTTCCACATGTGTCCCCTGGTGGTCAGCACACGTCATAGCGACCAGTTGTTCAGTTGTTCTGCCATTTGGTCTATTTGCATATTGGCGTTTTATTTATATACAGAGAGATTGTTAATGTTTCTATCTTCATCTTTAAAGCCTAGCCAGTGGGAGATAATTACCTTGTTAAGGATTTTGCAGATGCCTCAAAAAGGCTAAATAATACTCATCTTTTAACAAAAGTACAACCTCTTGCAGGTTTTAGAAGTATGAAACTATTAATGCTTTTTTAAAACAAATTTGGTGTTAAATCGAGGGTAGGATCCTTAGCTGCTTTAGTGGAAAGTTTAGCAAGAATTAAAGAACAACAGCCTCATAGATTTACTAACCCATACCTTTCTCTCAAAGGTATCACTTTCCTTAGAGGTTTAACAGATGTCAATAGACAAGTGAAATAGAGAAATGAACATTTAACCTGATTATGCAACAGAACCTCCAAAATTGTTCATGGTGGGAGTGGGGGTGGAAGAATGTCTGAAGGAAGGAAGTCACTGCTTTTCTCCTCAACATATTACCTGGAAGGGCCACAACTCTCCTTTAGCCATGTCTGCACCTGCTTGTGAGAGTCCTCCCTCCCACCTGGGGGAAGTACTAGCAAGAAATGATTTACTTCAAATGCCGCCAAGGTTGAGCATCTAAAGTCTGATGGGAGTTGCACATCCAATGCGGAAGCAGGTTTGGGGCAAGTGCAAGCATTTGAGGACAACCCAGGAAGGCTTTCTGACAGCCCTAGGTTGGAGATTTTCTCAAGATTTGCAAGATGCCAAATTAATCTTGAGGTTTCTTGCCTCACCTCCTTTTATGTCCCTCCCTGAGCATTCTTGTGTAAACTTGTCCTCAGGATGTCTTTTTGCCTCTTATAAACTCCCACCTCTGGGTAGCCTTGGCACCTCTGCCTTGCCCGGAGGCTGGGGAATTACTTGCCCATTTCCACATTTCTATGCTTAAAGCCTACCTTTGAGGCAAGAATGCAAGATCTCCTTTCTGGGTCAGGCAGAGAACGTGGTCATTTCCAGGGCAAGTAGGTTTTCACTCTGCATCTCCTTCGTCCCAGAAGAACTTCCTCCCTCTGGAAATGAGAAGATGAACTACCTTGACAATTAATTATCTGGCAACAGCCAACTGAGAGATTCAATCTTTTGAAGAACCAGTTTCCACACCATTTTGACTCAGAGCAAAACCTGGAAGTGAATCCGGGGCGGGGGGGGGGGGAGGGGGGAGTACGGGGGCACAGTCAGCACGTAATGCCCCACAGTGCACCTCTGCAGGTGTTACTGGCTACCAAAAATGGCCTTTGCATGGAACAAAATACCATAGACTGGGTGTCTTACACAACAGAAAGCTATTTCTCATTTTTTGCAAAATGAGTATGCTGGACTTTTCCAAACCTTCAAGTGCTGGTTCTGGAATTGTTTAACAATTCTTTTTTCAACTCACCTCTCTCTTCTCTCATTTTACTATTAACCAAGCCACTCTTGTATGCATTGCCTAGAAATCTCCTCAGCTAAATATCCAGTTTCATTGCTGGTAAGTTCTACCTCCCATAAAACACTAGAAGGTGAACACAGCTCAGCCAGTCTTTTGCCACTTTATAACAAGAACTGTCTTTCCTCCGATTTCCTAGAATGTGTTACTCACTTCCATCAGACACCTCACCAGAATGGCCTTAAATGTCCTCATTCCTACCAACATTATGCTCATGATTAGTTATGAATTCTAGAGAAGACGGAAGCTTTCTCTCCAGCTCTCCCTATTTCTGTCTGCACACTCACCAGAACTTCCCTTAATGTCCATATTTTCCCTATTCACCTCAGAACTCTTCCAGCCTCTCCTCACCACCCAGTTCCAAAGCCACGTCCACATATTTTGGTACTTGTTACAGCAGCACCTCACTTCTCCCTCCAACCACCACTGCTTAGCTCCAGCACCACCTCTCCCTCCAAGCAAAGTCCCTTCAGCTACATTGGGATTTCACACTTTTTTGGTTCCTCTTTCCACAACTCCAAAATAACAAAAGTTTCTCATTTACCTATGAAGCCGTCCTTGTCCCTTCCTTTTCCACTCTAAATACTTTTCTGACTTTATCTTAACTCTTTAGCTTGAATTTTTGCTTATGGTGGCCTCATAGATTCCCCCCTTTCTTACTCTATTAATTCTTGACCTCCTTGTCAGGAACCTTTTTCTTGCTTGCCTCTTAAATATCTGTATCTCCCAGGTGTCTTTTCTTGGCTCTTTTCACTCTAGAGACTAACGATTCTTCTCTTTGAACACTTAAAAATAGGAAATGGGGGGGTGGGGCATTTATTTCAGTCTGTTGAGATCTTGCTTCCAGAGTGACACAGGGAGAGCTGGGAGGGGTAGGAGGAGTGGTCAAACTACTCTTCTTTTGGGCTTTGAAATGCACCCCACACTTGAGCTTTGTGGTTGCCACTTTTGCAACGTGAAGTGCAGGCTCCAGAAGATATCTGAGAGCGCTGAGCTGTGCACCCAGGAATAGGTCTGCAAGGAGTCCACTCCCCCTGTGGCCAGTGCCCAGGCTATTGGGAACCAGCTCCCGTCCCTGATCGGGAAAGAAAGGATGGGAGAGATTTCCAGGGCCCATGGGTATCTGTTTATATTCTCAGCACAGGGCACTGTGGGTGGCAGGGAACAGTAGCACTGCTCAGTAGCAATTTCTGCCCTTTGTAAATTGTTTAATAAATCTGCTTTGTCGTTTTGTTATACAGAAATCAGTGCGTAACTGCCTTTTCATACTAAAGACTCTCTTTCTGTTATATATATATTACAGTCTATTGTATCCCAGGCACTATTCTAGTCGATGAGACTATAACAGAAAACAAAACATATAAGATCCCTGTTCTCATGGGGAAGACAGACAATAAGTAAATAAGTTTAAATATATATGTGATTTCAAATAGTGATAATTGCCATGAAGAAAAACAAACCAGTATAGGAGAGTCATAGAGAAGAAAGACCTCTCTGAGACAGGTATCTGACCAGATGTGATTTAAAGCCATGACTCTGGATGAGATCACCTAGGGAGGAGAGCAAACAGAGAAGAGAAAGCTCAGGACTCAGATCACAGGCATGTTACCCTTTCGATTTCAGCAAAAATTAGAAAGACCCAGTGAAGGAGACTGAGAGGGAAGCAGCTGGTGAAATAAGAAATCCAAGAAGTGTGAGGTTCTGGAACCCAACAACTACAAAAAAAGTGTATCAAGAAAGAAAGAGTAATCAACTATGTCACATACTGCTGAGAGGATGACTAAGATGAAGTTTAAGAATTGTTTATTGAATCTGGCAAGAAAGTGATCCTTGCCAAACATAAGATTGGTTTTAGTGGAACCAGAGGACAAGAGCCTGACTGGAGTATGTTCCGGAAATAAGAGAGGTGAGAGTGTGATTAGAGACAATTCTTTCAAGAGCATTGCTACAAAGGAGAGCAGATAAAGGTGGGGGGATGGGAATGTGGGATCATGTGAGACCTTCTTCAGATAGAACATATTACAGCATGGGGATGGGGTGAGGAGTAAAAAGTAAAGCTAAAGATGCAAAAGAGAAAGGGGATGATTGCAGAAGCAAAGTCCTTGAGCAGATGAGAGGGGACAATGTTCCCCTGGGCCTAACTGGAGTTACATAGGAGCTGGAACAGTCTTCCTATTGCAAGAGGAATAAAAGCAGAGTGTGTGTACAGATGCCGAGTAACTGGTAGATTTGATGGTGAGAATGGGAAGTAGTTCTCTTACAACTGTTCCTGATTTCTCAGTCGCTTAGATGCCAAGTCTTCAGCTAAGTGTGAGGAGAGATGAAGGCTAGTAGAAGTTTAAGAAATAAGATTGCTACATTCATGGAAAGATAACTTACAAATTCATAGATTTAAAGTGGGATCAGTCAGCACAGTTGGTGTTTCCCTCCAGCTACATTCATTTGAACTTCACATTAAGAATATTTGCTCTATACCCTCTTTCTGAGTGGCTTTATCCAAACCCATGACTTAGCCCAAATCTGTATCTCCAGCCCAAACCTCAAACCTGAACTCTCAACTAGGATACCCAACTGCCAGCTTAACACATGCACTTGACTGTCTAATAGACAGCTTACCAAGTTTCTTCAGCAATCTTTCCCTTTTTAGTAAGTGGCAAATTATTCTTCCAGTTGCTCAAGCCAAAAACTATGGAGTCGGTCTTGACTTTTCTCTTTCTCTCACACCTCACATTCAATCCATACCTCACATTCAAGATCTGACTTCAAAATATATCCACAATCCAACCACTTCTACTCACTGCCCAGGTTAGCTCCATTATCTCTCACCTGGATAATGTGTAACAGCCCCTCACAACAGGTTCCATCCTTTATACCATAGCCAGAGTAATTTATGTCTCCTCTCTGCTCAGAATCCCCAAGTTATTCCCACACAGACGGCATTACAATGGTTTGCAAAACCCTACATAATCTATCCCCTCTCCTGTCTTCTTTAAAATCATCTCCAACAACTCTCCCCAACACTCTGCACCAATTACACTGACCACACCTGATCCTGCCCCAGTCCCTTTATATTTGACTAGAGTCTGGTGCATGAAAATTCATGCACTCGGGGGGTCCCTCAGCCTGGCCTGCACCCTCTTGCAGTCCGGGACCCCTCGGAGGATGTCCACCTGCCGGCTTAGGCCCGCTCCCCGGGGAATCAGGCCTAAACTGGCAGTCAGACATCCCTCTGGCAGCCTGGGAGCCCTTGGGGGATGTCCACCTGCTGGCTTAGGCCCACTCCCCAGTGCTCACTGTGCTCGCAGCCATCAGCCCAGCTTGTGGCTGAGCAAAGCTCCCTCTGTGGGAGCACACCGACCACCAGAGGGCAGCTCCTGCATTGAGCGTCTGCCCCTTGGTGGTCAGTGCATGGCATAGCAACCGGTCGTTCCAGTCGTTCCGGTTGTTCAGCCGTTAGGGTCAATTTGCATGTTACCCTTTTATTATATAGGACTAGAGGCCCGGTGCACGAATTCGTGCATGGGAGGGTTTCTCAGGGTGGCCTGTGGGCATCAGGCCGAAACCCGCAGTCCAATGCCGCCTGCAGCTCCTACCTGCCACTCCTGCTCATCCCGGCCCCGCTGCACCTGCTGCAGGTTTGTGCCCAATCAGTCCTGATAGAGAGTGGCTCATGCTGCCGCAGCAGCACTCACCAGCCATGAGCCCTGCATCTGGCACCCTCCTGAGGGGAGTGGCCTGTGGGATGGGATGAAACCAGCTCTCTGACATCCCCCGAGGGGTCCCGGATTGCGAGAGGACTCAGGCCAGGCTGAGGGACCCCACCGGTGCATGATCGGGGCTGGGGAGGGACCATGGGAGGGCTCCAGGGCGTGTCTGGCCCATCTCGCTCAGATCCGATCAGCTGGACCCCAGCAGCAAGCTAACCTACCGTTCGGAGCGTCTGCCCCCTGGTGGTCAGTGCACATCATAGTGAGCAGTTGAGCAGCCTTAGCATATCATTAGCATACTACGCTTTGATTGGTTGAATGGTTGACCGATAACCAAACACTTAGCATATTAGGCTTTCATTATATAGGATGCTTCCTCTGCCTGGTATGTGCTTCCCTGGGGATAGCCACCGGCTCACTTCCTCACTTCCTTCACATCTCTACCGCTTTCTCAGAGAGGCCTCGGCTGACTATTTTCAATTGTATTTATCCCTATCTGCTATATTGTTTCTTTATCGGTTTATCTTGTGCCTTATTCCATTATAATGTAAGCTCTATCCTGACAAATACTTCATTTTATTTACTGCTGTATCCCCAGCACTAGAATAGTGCCAAGCATTAGATGTTCAATAATAAATCAAATTGATTTAAATACTGGCTTATTTATGTATATCCCCCACTAAAATCTATGTTCTTTTAAAAGAAGGACCATATCATATTCAACTTTAAATCCCCTTTGCCTAGCGAAATGCTCAGTAAGTGTCCAATCTATTCATGAATAAGTGAGGGATGAGTGTATAACTCAACTGCAAGCATGAGGATGTCAAATAGCCCTTAGGAAAGATGGTTAGCAAAAGGTTGACTCTGTCAGCCAAGT